GACTGGGGGTCACTGCCATCAAACATCAAGCAGGCGACATCACAGGCAGCATCAGACGCAGTGGACAGCAGGCTGTCTGCATCCACCTCGCAGAGCTGGACAGAGGGTGGCCTCAGGGAGCTCAATTCCCCAGGCCACATTGGGACAGCACCGCCCAGCATGCACCTGGGGTCTATTGCAGGGACCCCCCTCCCCAACACTCACTATCAGGTACTTCTCCTGCCCGTTGACCTGCACCGTGTTGATGGCATAGATGGCAGGTGTCTTGTGGAGCTCCCTGGTGTCCGGATGCTGAGGAGGGAGGTACCTGAAGCTCGCTGGCCCTGATGCTTCCCAAAGCCCCTACCCCCGCCCTGCAAGGCCCTAGATGGGAGCGGGGTCCCCTCACCCAGCACACAGTGATACTCACCCCGAGGCCACGGCCAAGGAAAGCCTGCAGGAAGGCAGACTTGCCCACACCACGCGCCCCCACCACCTTGCACAGAAGAACATTCCTGTGCGTTTGTCCCTTCTCCTGGTCCAGCCTCTTCTCACGGGTGACTGTGAGAGGATGGAACAAGAGTAAGTGGCTGCCAGGGAGGAGCTGGCCAGACCCCTGTGAGGGTGGGCGCCCACCTGTGATGGCATGCGTCTGGGAGTCCTGCTTGCAGAGGGTGGGGTAGCCCAGGTAGCCAAGGTGCTCCAGACAGCGCCGGACATCCAGGTAAGTCACCAGACTGGGGCATAAGGGGGCAGGGGGAGCGGTCAGCATCATGACGAGGCAGCACTGTTTGCTAAGTGGGGCAGGTGGGGGCTGCACTTACGTCCACTGGCAGAGGTACCCGTGCAGGGGCAGCCGACCTGCTTCGGTTCGGACTTCTTGCAGGAACTGAGGGCCCCAAGGGGGTGCTGGGGACACACTGAATAGGTCCTGCAGCTCCGCCAGCGAGAGGGCTCCATCATGGTCCTGCAGGCAGAGGGGCTGTGGTGACACTGGCTGGGGGCCAGGACAGGAAACCAAGACAGGCAGCACAGCAGGGTGACAGCGCCCTCACCTGGTCATGCTTCTCAAACACCCTCTGCACAAACTGGTAGCCAAAGTGGTTGAGCTCTGTGCTGCAGCCAGGGGGCACGTGAAGCCTGTGGGGTTGCCATCCGTTTCCACCACGCTCAGAGGGTGCAGTCCGACCCTCCCTGTGAGTCTGACTGAACCCCAGAGTTCCTCCAACTCTCTCCCTTGACTGAGCACAGCAGAGAAGCAGGTAGAGATGTGGCTGGGGCCAGGGGCCACCTGCTCGGCATTAAGTCCCAATCTGCCTGCCCACAGCAAGGTGCCTCCTACACAGGCCATCCTCTGCCCGAGCAAGGGCTCCAACCCCCCCTGGCACCATCTAACACTGAGAGCCATCCACCACTCACAGAGGGAAGAGGTAGTCGGTGGACAGCTCGAGTGTGTCGCCATAGCCGAAGCGCCGCAGGATGGTCCACGTGGTCTCATGGCGGCCACGCTGGATGAAGAGTGTGTTCAGGAAGAGGAAGCCTGTTCAGGAAGCAGAGAAGGTGACACTGGGTATTACCTGAGCCTCTCCCCACACCAGGAGGACAGGCAGGGTGCCAGGGCTCACCGTCCAGGGTCAGCCGGTCATCCCGCACCCCGCCTGCCACGTTCTTGCGCACCACCATCTTGACATCCTCCAGGGCTTGTGGGGCCAGGGGATGCCCAAAACAGGATTTCTGCCTCCAAGAGAAAGTTGCTGTTAGTAAGCCAGCTGTCCCACTGACAGCTGGGCCTGGTCATTAATGGCATGGAGCCCGGCTGCGGCCAAAAAAGGGTGGGCACTACCAGGAAGTGGATGGGGCCCCACCTGGAAAGCGTTGAGCTCCTCATCACTGAGCGCCTGGTCCAGATCCTGGTCTGAGAGCCTGAAGATGCGTGTGAGGGCCTGGGTGCACGCGGGCTTCAGCTGTGGGGACAGCCAGCTCAGCATGTTCCCCCAATCCCACCTGCTGGCCACCCCCACCCACGCCAGCTGCTCACCTGCTTGGTCTCAGGGTCATAGAGAGGAGCTGTGGGGTGCAGCACGGCCTTCTGTGCATAGTAGAACAGCTCCGAGATGTTCCTCAGGTTCCTGGCCGAGCACTGGGAACCACGGGGACAGACTCAGAGCGGTGCCCGATGCTGGGAGGCTCGAAGATGCAGGCACAGGTGGTCAGCAGCCCCCATCCCAAGGAAGTCCTCAATAAGAAAGCTTGCCTGTCTTAAGGTCCCAGGCCACCAGCACATGAGTGCTGGCTGCAGGGCCCTGGCCCTTCTCTTCTCCACCCCAGTGCCCCCTGCCTGGCCCTAGTGTGCGTGCCTGCTTACCTCCACACAGGTCTCAATCTCAGGGAACTGACTCATGATGGGCAGCACGGCCTCCATGGAGCTCCCTGGCCGCAAGTCCGACTTGTTGCCCACCAGGATGATGGGGACCCTGGAGAGAGGCCCACGGTCATCAGGGATGAGGGAGCTGGAGGAGACCGACCAGCCCCTTGGGCACTGCCCATTACCTGGGCCCCTTCTCTGTCCCTCCATTCACCAGTGGGATCCATTTGGTTCGGATCTGAAAGGCAAGGCCTGGCATGAGGTGAGGGAGCCGCCCAGCCCACACCTCTCAGATGGAACTTAAACCTAACCCGAGAGAGATGGGGGGAAGTTGAGGGCCAAAGTCACGGTCACTGGGAACACATGGAGAATGCACCTTACAGGTGTGACCTTATCTGATCCTAGCAGTTTCCCAACACCCCCAAGGGACCTGGGGTCAGCAGCTAGGGATAGCCCCGCTGCAAGCCTAAGTGCTTTAGACTCATGGCTGTTCATGCTTTCTGCAGGGAGACGGGGTCACAGGGAGCTCCCTGAGGAAGTTGTGGGGGCTTGTGGCCAAGAAGCTCCCTGAAGCACCCATTAGAGATGGGGTTGGCCACGGGTGTGAGTCACCCCAGCGCCTGCATCAGCCGGGCATCCCCCTGGGGTCCGAGCGGAGAACAGAACGATGACCAAGCTGGGTGCCAGCAGCAGGGACGCAGGATGAACACTCGCTCTCTCACTCACCTTCTCAATGGTGGCCTCCTCGGACACGTCGTACACCACACACACCACATTGGCCTGCGGGGGAGGGCACGTGGCACAGCATTACCAGAGGCTTCCTGTCCACGCCACCCCGGCACTCAGGCAGGACACGGCGTGGCTCAGAGACCCAGGAAGCCACCCTTCACTGGCGCTCCTCAGCCAGTGCCCCTTGGTGGTGTCACGGGGGTGGTCGTCTGCTGTGCAAATCGCACAGCCCTTCCCTGCGCACTTCCAGGTCCCAGCACTGCGACTCTGGTCAGCGAGGCCCCCGAAGGGCTCAGGGCAGACACAGCCACCCCAGAAACTTGGTACCCAGATCTGGCCTCGGTCTGTCACTCCGTGTCACTTTGGGCAGAAAAGATGCCGAGAACAGCACCCCTAGGACACAGTAGCAGCTGCAGAGGGACAGGGCAAGGCTGCAGCGGACGGCTTCCTCCCGGGAGCTTGGCCCAGACACATGTCCTCCTGATAACGGGTGAACAGAGGGCTCTGCAGCCTGCGGCCCTGGTCACGGCGCCACGGCTCAAAGGCCCAGAGTAGTGGGTTGCGCTACAGGGTGGGGGGCAGGTGGCCGGGGCACAGAGCTGTTGAAGGGGTCATTCTGAAAGATAATGAGATCTGTCCCCCAGTGTCCACTGGAAGAGTGCATGCTGGGTGGAGAGAGCCATGGGGCTGGCCAGCCATGTGGGTAGGAGGAGGAAGGGATGGTCCCTTTTCTCCCCAACTCCCAGCAGGGTGCATCACAGTAACCCCAGCAACTTAGTACTGGACTGAGAGGTCACGGAAGAATTAGCGAGGTGGAAGCAGCTCTGAGCACCTTAATCCAATCCCTCAGAGAGAGAAGCCGATCAGAACTAGGCAGCAGCCCACACCCCCCGCCCCCAGCCTGACCACTGAACCCATCCTCACCCCGCGCCCCCGGCCCCCAGGAGTGGGCGGCCCTCCCTGAGCCTCAGAACACACTGCACCTTGTTAATCTCGTCCTGCAGCTCCTCCACCGTCTGCTCAGCTTCTGGAGGGAAGAGACGGCACTGCACACCTCCTGCCCGGAATGCGGCTCCTGGGCAGGACGTGGGGGGGGAGGCGGCTCTACCTGAGGAATCCACGATGTGCGTGGGCACCTTCTCGGGGGTGACGTCCGCGGGGATGGTGATCTCTTCCGCCCGGGGAGGCACCTGAAGCAAACGGGCCGTGAGGGTGGCCCGGAGCGGAGAGAGGGCCGCCCTGGGGCCTCAGTCCCTTCCTCTGCGCGACCGCCACCGTCCTCACCTCTTCAGGGAACTCCTCGCCCACCAGCGACAAGATCAGAGACGTCTTCCCCACCTGGGCTGCGCGGGACGGCGCGGTCAGCGCGGCGGCCA